CCAGTCTTTGGGACCAATTTTTTGGTGGCCAAGCATTCGTACGTTTACCTAATATGCCAAAAAAAAATGTATGCCATATTTAAGCATTTTTAAGCATATTTGAGAATTTTTTCAGATTTCTCGCTATGAAAATTTTCGAGAAAAAAATTGTTAAGTAATAATAGTTTAACACGGTCTCTTACGAAAGAACGAGGTTAGATCGCCTGTTAATAAAAATTAGAGTACATTAGAAATGTGCTCGATTAAAAAAAAAGTTTTTATAGATACCTTAGTACAAAAGGAAGATGATCAAAAACAAAAATCACGACTCACCAGGCATTTTTCAAAAATATAATCGATTACAGTCGCACAGATTCAAGTTTGGCGAGTGCAAGAGGAGGTGTATGGTACAGGGGAAACATTTGCGTGGGCTGGGGAACTCCCTGTTCCTTGCTTCTCTAAATGATACTCCTAAACCTTCTTAAAAGAGCAAAACAAATTGAAAAAGAAAAAGCAGGTCTCGTCTCGCAGCAGAAGAAATTACAACTAATCGAACAGAAAAATAAGGTTAAAAAAGAAGCTCTATTAAAAAAAAATTTTTTTTCAAATAGGTAAAATAAACCTACAATTGAATTCTAACAGTAATTGTTAGTTATAGGTATAATATGTTATAAAAGATACATTCTCAGATTTTAACATTCATGGAAAAAATATTAACTTAGGACCGTGGAGTACAACTCTATTTGTATTTTAAAAATCAATGTTTCTTTAAATAACTGAATTTTCGTACGTGCTACAAATGAAATATAAGTTCTGAAATAATTATAAGAGTCTTATTCATGTTTTAAACTTTATATTGTACCGAGAATTAATATTTAATTTCTTTGGAAGTAAACATATGTATAAGTGTCAGTAACACATGGGCACTAATTGATTTACTGTCAGTAATCAAGGGGCAGTAATACATGCGTGTTAGCAGTGATACTAGAAAAATACTCAAAAAATCGATACTTAGTAGAGACGCTCTGCTGGTAGATTAAAGGATTTGACATTGTTTTTAAGTGCCTACCAGTAACATAAAATTTTAATGTCTTTAAAATTACGGAGCAAAACAGTTGTACCCAATAACCCACTACATAAAAATAGTTCTAATTTTTTTATTGAAAATTAAAAATACACTTTACTTCTCATTGAGAAATAGTATATAGGTGTAAAACATTTTATTCTAATTGAAACAGCTTTTTTCCATTTATGAACCGTATACTTAACAGAGCATTGAAAATAAGTGCTGACTGCCTAAGACATAATTTACAATATTTTATCTTGAAACAATTTAAAAATAGTATGAAGGGACTATGTGCTAAAAAAAGCTATTTTATTACTTTTTGCATTTTTTAATGTAGCTCACTATTTGAAAAAGTACGTTTTAAAGATAATTTCTCTATTTTAGTGGATGCAATAATGATATTGGCTACTTGAAAATTAAAACATAGTCAAAATCGCGTTAATAAATTATAACCTTTTTCTTAGGTAATGTAGACTGTCTCTTTTTTGGGAAAAATTACATTTATAAGCAAATACCTAAAATATAGTTAAAAAGTTATCTTAATTTATTTGATAGTTAAAGTACAAAAATAAAATAAAAAGAGGTTCTTACGGTAAAAACAGATAACTTATCTGTTAATAATACTTTGTAACGTGGCCCACCTTTAATAAAATTTTGAAAAATATAGTGTCGATGTATATTTTTCTATTTTACAAGATGCAACAACTATACGCACTTATGGAAAACACTAACACGGGCGAAAAAACTTCAAAAAAGCTACTTTTTGGCATAACTTACCATCAAAAAGAA